ACAAGGCTTGTCCATGGGACCATCGCAAGGGCAAAGCTTTGTTTTACTGTTTTTGGACAGTCTCATATCCTTGAACGTACTAAACAGGAAAGGCCTAAGTCCTAAACCTGTGGCAGTTCTTGCATAAAAGGAAAAGACTGTGGCGTGAAAATTAAATTCCTAAGAAAACAACAATTACCTTTCTTTTAATAATAGTTTTGACATACTTAAAAATTGATGCTGGTAACTGCTGGCCATATGGCAGATCAGATCATGGCAAGTACTTTTTAAAAATTATGTGATGTAACTAGCAGGTTTTTCAACTACTTCCCCTGGACCTCCTAGTTAAGTAGACTCCTCCTCTAAAATGGTGGCGCATACCTCTTTGCAAAAGTTGTACCAATTACATACGGTATACGTGCTGGCAATGAGACAGTAGCCATCTTTGCTATAGGATTTGTCTTTGGTAAGCCTGACTGGTGATTCAACAATTGAGAGTGGGTGGGTAGACAGTTTTGATTTTGTCGAGAAAGGTGAGAAACTTATCAATAAGGAAAGAAAAAGATGCTGTTGTTGAAATTAACAGTTCAGCATCACACAGACACAGGCAACACATGCAGGCCTGTTGCCCATTCTTGGATTTAGTGGCACTGCAAGCACAGCCACCACCATTATTAGCTGTGGTTTTTATTATGTGACTTTTATTTGGAGGCCAAATGTTATGAAGAACAAAAAAATATTTAAATACTAAATGAAGTCCAGTCCCAGCTCAATGGCACATGGTCACATTTGAAACCTTCCATTACCAAAAATTAGCAATTGCTAAAATTTTACTCCTGAAAATTACCATCTACAGTACATACATGTATATACTACATGTACATGTGTACTGTATTTATTTATTTTGTGTAGCTGAATCACAGGGCAGTATCTGTTCCTGTTCTACTTCTTGTTTTGTTATTTCTTTTCTGAAGATGTTGACAACAGAAAACAAATCAGTTGATCTTTTAATAGATCAGTTGTATCCAGCTCTTTATCTGACTTGAACTTGTCTCAATTTTCATTTAGTTTGTCAATTTGTTCTTTTGTGAATCTTCCTTTAAGACGACGACTTTCATCTGCGACTTGGTTGAGTTGGTTAAGCATTTATTTGTCAACAATACGAGTATTTTTCAATAGTATAACTTTAAACTCTCCACATGTTACAGTCAGGACACATTAATGATATCACATGTAATACATGTTATTACTAATACTAATGATGTCTCCTCTTCTTTAGGTGTTTGTATTGAATCCATTAACAAGTGAAGGTATTGAGATGCTACAGTACATTTCATTGTTCATGGAACACTTGACACCATTCAGGTATACATGTACATGTACATGTTATTTTATGTATTATGTAGTACATATGCATGTTTTATTATTAACAATAATAAAAGCACTATTATTAATTTATAGTTAATATCAATCAATTATACTATTTTGTCATTTGATTTTCACTATTACTTATATATTATTTTTTAATTTAATACTTTATTATTATAATAAAACTAAGACTTAGATGTAGAATAGAGTATTATTATTATTATCATCATTATTGTTATTGTTATTATTCATAGGTTGGGTGTGTTGTTTGTTGATGGTGGGTGTGGTCTAGAGGATGAGTCAGACAGCCTCAGTCAAGAGGTTATTTCTGCTTTTCGTTTGGTAGCTAAAGAAAAAGGAGAACTCTCTGCTCTTGCTTGGGCAATCTCGGTAAATGTTTTAATTATATATATTTATTATGATTATTTATGAATTTAATTAATGATGGGTGTGTTTATTATTATTTTTTTTTAGTTACTGGAGGAGTATGATGAGGAGTCTGATCTTAAGGTTAGAGAAAGTCTAAAGAAACAGTTTCCTGATTTGACTGTACCAGATCAATTGATTGATAAGGAATATTTAAAGGTTATTACATTTTCTAATATGTATTGATATCCTTTTGCTGTGTAGAAGGTTGGAGCTAATGCCGACTTCAATTTTTTAAGTTGCTGCCATTTTGAAAAATACCCAAGGCTTTAGCCCATAATTTTTTTCCAAAAAATGGCTCCACGATCACTTTCAATTTTTATTATATTTTTGATACATATTGATTTCCTTATGCTGTGTAGAAAGTTTGAGCTGATTCCGACTTCAATTTTTCAAGTTACGACCATTTTAATAAAATGCCAAAATTCTGAAAAATTTCCAAGGCTATATATAACCCATGGTTTTTTTTCGAAAAATTACTCCGAAATCAACCCAATTTTTTATTAAATTTCCTGATACATATTGATTTCTTTATGCTATATAGAAAGTTTGAAGTGATTCTGACTTCAATTTTTCAAGTTACGACCATTTTAATAAAATGCCTAAATTTTGAAAATTACCCAAGGCTATAGTCCATGGTTTTTTCTGAAAAATGGCTCCAAAATCAACCCAAATTTTTATTACATTTTATGAAACATGCATGTACAGTATTTCCAGTGAAATACAACCCCTATACGGTACATTGTTGCATATTATCTTATTTTTGTTTAGTTTTCATGTGATTTCTTCATGTCAAGAGGTTTCAGTGAATTACCTCAAGTTACTGTTAATGGAGTTGTACTGGAACTGGAGGACGAAGTAAGAGAAAAAACAAAGAGAAAGAGAGAGAAGGGAAGGAGGAGGGAGGGAGGGAGGGTATTCTACAAGAAAGGAGATACATGTAGTTACAGTATCAGTTATTAGATTTGTCTTCTAGGATCTTCAGAATGCAATAGTTAATGAAGTTCAGCATCAAACATCAGAAATACAGCAACTAGTTTATAGAGTAAGTGATACACATGTACATGTACATTGTAACTTCCCTTGATATCTAATTATCTATTATATATGTACATAAAATCATAAATACTGTATTTTTTTCTTTTATTGATAATTATTTTGTTCATGGACTTGTGTATGCATTGATAACATTTCTCCTTCCCTCCCTCCCTCCCTCCCTCCCCAGAGAAGGATCACTGATTCTACTAATATTTACAATCATTTCATGTCCAAGCCTAATGTCCTCCAGCGTCTCAATAAACACGTAGCTAATCTTGATAGTTTAAAGGTTGATCTCAGTGGAGTCTGGTCAGGAGGAGACCTTCCTCTTACATTACTCACAAAGGCTCAACTCTCAGCTGCAGTTGCCACTCAAATGAACTATTTAACCAGCAAAGAAGGTATGTATACTATACCATAAAATTTTTTGATTTTTTGTGCTGATTAAAATGTATCTCCAAAATAAAGTTGATTTTTTACTGATTAGCAAAATTTTTTACCCTCAATTTTTTGCAAAAATTTATTCACAAATAATTCATATTTACTCGTTTTTTCCCAAAAATTTTTTATGTAGGTGAGTTTACTATGAAGCCAGTCAGTCTGTGGGTTGTGTCTGATTTGTCCACTTCCTCTGGTCGACAAATGGTCTTGAATGTATTGAAATTTATGGTAAGTTAATCCTCTTATTATTTACTTTATTTATTTATCATGATTATTTAGTTTGTTTGTTGATTTATATAAGTACATGTACATATATCTCGTTATTGTATTAAGTCTTTATTATTGTTATTTATTATTAATTATTACTGTTATTTACTTATTTATTTATTCATTAGGAGACTAAAGATA